TAAATATTTTTCCCACCAAAAAAAAAAAAAAAAAAAAAAAAATATATATATATATATATATATATACAGAGACAAGAACATACCTCACATCTAGATTATATGATCCCATATGGAGGTTTGGTAACCCCGAAAGTCAGGCCCTATGTTGTTGCGCAAAGGGCTTGTTGTGGGCTAGAATACAGAGTGTTACCACACCCCCACTATGTTGGTATCAGAGCCATGTTGTTATCTTGATCTTACTATTCTGATTGGAATTATCCAGTTTGAAAGAAACTAGGAAGAACACATTAAAAATTATGTCTGAATCTTCTAGTTCATCTATATTAGCACCCTCCACATCCTTTCGAAAATCTAATGCTTCTAAAATCGACTCCCTTTATGAAATATCTTACCTATCTGAATCTGAAAAAATCCCAATTACAGATCTACCTCTTGTCAATCCTTATCTTCCATATAACAAACCCCGAAATTCCTTCACCAAAACTGTTAAAAGTATCATTTTACCATCAAAATCCCAAATCAAATAATATGTTCAGGCATCAAAGTTTGATCAGCATCTTCTACCTGCTACTGAAAAGGAGCAGTTTGTTACCTTAGATTTACCATCTCATCTTCCAAAAGTATGGTTATCTGAAGGTTTTACCCATCTTCATTTTGGAGCTGTAAGAATTGCACTTACCCTCCATGGAAGAAAAGGTCTCCCGGCTGTTTCTAGAATTGCTCTTCTAGATACACGATTTGCTGATTATCAACATGCATGTATTGGCATTGTGGAAACTACACTCAACGCGGGAACAGTATTTGTTACTATGTTTCCAAATTTTAATATGCCAATTGCAGATCCATTATTGTTATCAGCTTTAAAAATTCAGGTCCAAATTGTTGGAGCAGTTCCAACAGCAGTCACATATGGAGCAACACTTCATTACCAGATGGCTTACAGAATTCAAAATCACTCTCTTGATTTTGCCACTCCTAATGGGACGGATGATGCTTTATTAATTCAGATGGGAACAGATCAGCCAAGCTGTACATATGTCCCTAGACAGATTCCTAGATCCGAGCTCATTAAATTGGTCCCTCAAACCTGGGTTACTAGTTATGAGCAACATCAGCAGGCATCAAAAGACTCTCTGCCTATACAATCAGCAACTCATCATTTCAGGAGAAAGTCAAATGGCGAAGTTGAGATCATGTTTCAAAAAGAACCTGCAAATAAAAAGCCTCACTGTTTTCCAACACAGTTTGCTTTTTCCAATGGAGAAATTCCCATTTATGGATTTGATGCAAATGGCAGGCCAATTTATTGCAAATCTGATAACTC